CACGGCAGCGCTATGCAGGGCATAACGATCGTTGTCCTGCCATTTAGATGTACGCGTCCGTACTCTCGTGATGGGATAGGGGTATCCCCCCAAATGCATGATCACACAATATGCATGAGGTCTCACTAGTCTTACAGTCATCATTTAATGAACATAACCCCGTGTCACGTTTTCATGCTTACATGTCATTCTCATTCTCATTTCGTTACATATCATACATATTCCTAGCGGGGTTATGTATCATGCAATTTACCGTATTTCATGTCATACAATTCATTCAGTTACATGCCAATACTCATACAACAAGCCATAATCGTACAAGGCCACACATCGTCATATGCATTCGTATCACCTCAACTAAGCAGCATAAATAACATACATTCACGTTCACATGATTTTGTACTTAAGCACACTAATCTAGCATACAATGTATCATATCATAACCAAATCATAACGTAAACACTTCATAGTCATATCGTTCTCTAATTTACCATAGCCTTAACGTTCTTATACCTATCACAGACATATCATTACGTGAAGTACCTTAGTCATATCGTCATAAGAACGTACCCTAACGCTATCGTTCTATCAATCAATCACAAACCTATCCCTTTCTACCCATAACCTAACCGTATTCTTTCATCAATCTCTCCTATCCATAGCACTCTGATATGTAACCTAACTCTAACGTTTCATGAACGTATCTTACTCCTATCGTTACATTTCGTTTTGTGCATCCTTCTCGTACCCTATCTCAAACATATCCTTGAGCACATCGTACCAATCATACAAACAACATATTATAACATAACATAACATATAGGAAGCATATCGATCCACAGACAATTCACACATATCAATATATATGACACGTACAGAACCACAGGGCACGTGCCCTGTGGTTCTGTACGTGTCAACATCAAATATAACCATGCCGATAGTAAGGTCACTTACCTGACTCGCTTAAGTCATTGCCACAAATATATCTTTAATGAAAGTTTGATTCCGTCCTTTGAAATCCGAGTCAACCTATATGAGCTCATGACATCAGTTTCAAGTTTTATCTCTATAAAATTATTACTCTAATTTACATTGGCATTGGCATCTTAAAATTCTGATCTTTTCTGGACAAAATTTAAAGAAGCTCACTGCCTCTGATGAAAATTCTTAATGTTTTCTGTTACACAAAATTGAAAGGAGCTCACTACCGTCTCATATTTCCTATTATTGTTAAATACTGTTTAACAAATCTTTCCTTACTCTCCCTCCCTCTCTCTAATCCTTTTCATTCTGTAAATAGGTTTTAAAATTGAAGGGAGCTCAATGACGTGATATTTCCTTGTATTGTTAAATACTGTTTAACAAATTTTTCTCAATCTCCCTCCCTCTCTCTCTAATCTTTTTAATTCTGTAAATAGGTTTTTCAATTGTGTAAAGAGATACTACTGACCAATTTTAAGTACATCTTTTAGTTTATAGATTGGCCACCTAAAATTTTATTGAATCTAACTTATAACCTTATTTTGTATAATTAAAATGCTAACAAAAATCTAATAATTGTATATGAGATCTGATTATTACAACTATTAAGATAGGAAAGAAGATTTTATCCTAAATTAATTTCTGAGATAGGATTTTACCGTAATATCTGACAAACTCTGAATCTACAATCTGTTGAACCCCATTTTACTTCTCAAATCTAACATGATTGTTTTTCTGTTTTTTTTTTTTTCCAGTTAGCGTAAGATGGGTCGAGGAGAGATAATTGTGGGAAGGAATGAGAGGTTAGTGGAGAGGGGTGAGGAAAGTTTTTTTTTTTTTTTTTTTTTTTATAATTTTTTTAGTTTTTATTTTTAATTAATTAATTAATTATTATTATTATTGTTATTTTAATATTTTTTTATTTGTTTATTTGTTTATTTATTTTTGGGCTATTACATATATGATGACGATTGTATGATAATGACAATGCATGATAATAAGACGATGCTTGATAATATGATGTCATTTTCCATATGAAGATGACAATGCATGATAATAAGACGATGCTTGATAATATGATGTCATTTTCCATACGAAGATGAAATGCATGTTTTTAAAAATGTCATGTTGCATTATGACACCGATTTTTCTAGAATACAACCCTAGTTATGATGAGGGTATGAAAACCAATTGCATATATGTTACTCATAGTAATATAAGGATGAAATTAGGATTGTGTCATAGATGATTTAAAGATGAGAAACCATAGGGACCACATGCATTCTGTGTGTACATAAACATTGGGCTGCTTCCCCTCTTACGATAATGAGTACGAACGCATACACTACGATGATGATGGTGATCATGCCGCACATGACACTCAGTGTAATAGCCCAAAATAAATAAATAAATAAAAGAAAGAATAGGTTCCTTAATAGAAACAATTTTTCCGCGCTCCTCTCCACTAACCTCTAATCTCTTTTCCCAATTATCTTGCCTTTAAATATAGGATAGGTCATATCTATGCATAGGATAGGTCATATCTATGCATAGTAAGATAATCTTCTGATTTCTTGGTTTGTTACTATGGATAAAGGAGAATCTACTAATTTCCTGGTTTGTTACCGTGGATTAAGGACCACCATATAATCCTCATTGTACACACCTATAAATACATGAGGTCGTGACCCACATAGGTAACAGTGCCATTCAACCTAATATGGTATCAGAGCCAAGGTTTATTCATTAATAATGTTTATCATATCTTTTTCCTCCTCCCCATCCACCATCTCCAACACGATCTCATCTACCATGGCGTCGACCTTTGGCCTAATCCCTCTCCACCATGCTGTCACAATCCATCTCACCAAAAACAACTTCATCATATGGCGCGCCAGCTCCTCCCCTACCTATGAAGTGCGAAGCTTATGGGCTACCTCGATGGCACCATTGCCGCACCTGCCAAGCTGGTCCCTTCCTCAACTGTTGCTAGTGCTGACCTGGTTTCTAATCTGGCCTATGATCGATGGTATGGTCAGGATCAACAGGTCCTTAGCGGCTTTCTCTCCTCCATGTTTGAGGAGATTCTTCACAATGTGGTTGCCGCTACTACGTTCAAGGAGGCGTGGGATATCCTGCAGCGAATGTTTTCGTCATCAACTTGTGCTCGCCACGTCCAAGAAACACGATCTGTCTGCTGTAGATTATTTTCGCAAGATCAAAGGATTGGTCACCAAGTTGGCCGTTGCCGGCTCTACCTTGCGGGATGATGACGTGATCGCGTATCTCCTCGTTGGTCTTGGCCCTGAAGCTCGCCAACTACAACACCAGGTTGAACTTCAGTTAAATCCTGGATCTTCGGCCAATTATGCTAGTCGTGGTGGTCAGCAGAAGAATCGTGGGCGTAGGGATTGTGGTCGTGGGCGTTTATAAGGTGGCGCGCCCTCTCGTCTTGCTGGTGATCATCGTGACCCTTCTGCTCATCCTTCTTGCCAGATCTGCGGCAATGTGGGATATACTATCGCTCGCTGCTGGCATAAGATGGATGAGTCCTATCAAGATGAACCTCCTTCTGCTCCTTCTGCGGCATTGACAGCTACTTCCTCTTACAAGATTGATACAAATTGGTACAGCAACACAGACGCCACTGATCATATCACTAGTGATCTGGATCGTCTCACTGTGTGTGAACACTATCATGGAGGTGAACAAGTTTAAGTCGACAATGGAGTAGGTTTGCATATTTTGTTGGGTTTTATGTCCTAAAACTCATAGTTTGTAAACAAAAACATATTCTACTTTCAATAAAGTTATTATTGTTGTTTATTCAGTAAAGATTGTTATTGAATAAAGTGAACTTTACGATCATTAATCTAAATCCAATAAACTAATAACATCCTGGCTATAGTATGATTACTTGAAATATATGTAGAGACATAAGAGTGGATCAAGTTCAAGTATATAGTCAAAATGATCTATAGTATAAAGATAAGGCTGCGTACCTTATTCTGAGGACACTATGGATGCGGCCCACTTTTGTATATGATATAAACAATGTGATCACTAAATTGTACATGTGAAGACATGTGAGTGGGGGTGTCCTATGCAATGAGTATTGCATAAGATCGGACCATGAAGAAAACCACTCTCACTTTATCTGTTGAGAGCTTTAAATATTATATCAGCTTCATTGATGATTTCAGTAAATTTTCGTGGATTTATTGATGCATGATCGTACAAAAGCTCCTCGTATACTTTTACTGTTCGAAGCTCATGTTGAGCGCCTCCTGGATATTAAAATCAGGTGTGTCCAATCTGATTGGGGTGGAGAATATCAGAAAATTCATAACACATTCTTTCATTCCCTATGAATTAATCATCGTGTTTCGTGCCCTCACACACATCAACAAAATGGGTCTGCTGAACGCAAGCACTGTCATACTGTTGAAACTGGCTTAGCCCTTCTAGCTCATGCTGATGACCTATTAAATTTTGGGATGATGCATTTCTTACCGCCACATATCTCATCAATCGTCTTCCTACTCGTGTCATTGATAACAAATGCCCCTTAGAATGTCTTTTTCATACCCCATCAAGTCAATCATTATTAAAAGTTTTTGGGTGTGCTTGTTGGCGTCATCTTCGCCCTTCTAACAAACAAAAGCTCTCTTTTCGATCAAAGGAATGTGTCTTTCTAGGCTACAGTTCTTTACATAAAGGGTATAAGTGTCTTGACACTGATTCTGGTCGTGTTTATATTTCTAGAGATGTCATATTTGATGAGAATACTGTTCCGTTCAAGAGAGTCCCACCCAGTTCTTCCCCAACCTTGCAGCCGATGCACAATGCCTTTGATTTGTGCACCTTGCATTTGGGAAACAGCAGTAATAATTTGGAGAATGATCATATGCATATATTTGTGTCTACTAACTCTTTCGATGCAAAAAATCTGGTGCCCACATCAACTTTGGGATTGCCGCCGCAATCCTCCGCGTGAATCAGCATCGGTTGTTCCGCCAATGATTGGGGCCTCGGATTCTCCGCCAGTAGATGATATTGCGCAATGCCCCATCGGATCCTCAACTGCTGGTCGACCAACTGTTGTAGCACTGGTTGCTCTTGCAATGGCTGGTACGATTGTCCCCTCAGTTGTGGATCTTGCACCTACTACTCATCGATATGGTACTCAATTGAAGCACGATATCAAGCAACCCAAGGTGCGTACAAATGAAACGATATCAAGCAACCCAAGCTAAAAGACTTGAAGGTCAAGAATTATTTGTTCCAAGCCATTGATCAAACTATTATGGAAACGATCCTTAATAGAGATATTGCAAAACAAATTTGGACTCTATGAAGCAGAAGTACCAGGGTTCCACAAGAATCAAAAGAGCTCAACTCCAAGCTCTTAGGAAAGAGTTTGAAGTCCAACAGATGAAAGAAGGTGTGAGTGTTGATGCATATTTTGCTCGAACTCTCACCATTGCAAACAAGATGAAAATTCATGGCGAACACATGAAACAAGTGGTGATTATTGAAAAAATCTTGAGATTAATGATCTCAAGATTTGACTATGTTATATGCTCGATTGAAGAGTCTAATAACTTAGACACTTTAACAATCGATGAATTTCAAAGCAGCTTGCTGGTACATGAACAAAGACTGAATGGACGTGTAAGTGATAAACAAGCACTAAAGATGACATACGATAATAGATTCGGTGGAAGAGGAGTTGATCGAGCTCGTGAAGTTTTTCGAGGAAGAGGTAGAGGAAGAGGAAGAGGAAGAGGAAGAGATAGACATTCATTCAACAAAACTACAGTTGAGTGTTATAAGTGTCATCAGTTAGGACACTTTAGATATGAGCGTCCTCAATGGGAAAAGGAAACAAATTATGTAGAGCTTGAGGATGAAAAAGAAATCTTGTTGATGTCATATGTGGAGCTCGCTCAATCAAGAAGGGAAGATGTTTGGTTTCTTGATTCCGGGAGTAGCAATCATATGTGTGCAAACAAGGAATGATTCTCAGATTTTGACGAGGAATTCCAACAATTTATGAAGCTTGGAAATAATTTCAAGATGGCGGTGTTGGGAAAAGGTAACATTAGATTGCAAGTCTTGGACAATTACAAGAAAGAGGTGTATCTATTTTGATACAACATGAGAATGCAAAATCTATCATTCCAAGAAGGGGCTTATTAGGCAAACAACAATGTTTGCAAATAGGATGTTCATATTACTTGCAAGAATCATGCCACAAACTGCTCCTTGTTTCTAAACAATTATAGAAAACAACACTCATCTTTGGCACCGCAGATATGGGCACCTAGACTTCAAAGGTTTCAGAACATTGCAACATAAACAAATGGTGAGAGGGTTACCCCAATTGAAAGCATCGTCTAAAATATGCACGGATTGTATAGTGGGAAAGCAACGTAGGGATGCATTTCCAAAGAGAAGCTTATGAAGAGCAACACAAAGGCTGCAACTGGTACATGCAGACATCTGTGGACCCATCAAATCTCTTTCCAACCGTAAAAAGAGGTATTTCTATGTTTTATTGATGGTTACAGCCGCAAGTTGTGAATATATTTTCTTGCTGAAAAGTCTGAAGTCTTTACTATCTTCAAGAATTTCAAAAATATTGTTGAGAAAGAGACTGAAGATTTTATTCGTTGTCTACGCACAGACAAGGGTGAAAAGTTCACCTCTCACGAGTTCAACAATTTTTGCAAAACTAATGGTATCAGTAGACAACTTACTACCGCCTACACTCCCCAACAAAATGGTGTAGCTGAGCGCAAGAACAGAACAATTATGAACATGGTTAGAAGTATATTATTAGGGAAGCAAGTTCCAAAGAATTTCTTGCCAGAAGCAGTAAACTGGACAATGCACGTGCTCAACAGAAGTCCTATGGTGGTAGTGAAAGATATGACTTCTAAGGAGGCTTGGAGTGGCGTAAAACTTAATGTTGACTATTTTTGAATTTTTGGGTGCATTGGGCATGTTCATGTATCAGACGGTAAGAGAAAGAAGTTAGATGATAAAAGTTTTCAGTGTGTGCTGCTAGGGATGAGTGAATAGTCTAAAGCATATAGACTCTATGATCCAGTGTCCAAGAAGATAGTTGTAAGTAGAGATGTGGTTTTTGAAGAAAAAAAATGTTGGAATTGGGGGAAAACTAATGAAGAAGCTAGACTTGATACCCTCAAATGGAAAGATTGTATTATAGAAGGAGGCGAACATGACCAAAGTGAGGAAGAATTTGAAGAGGAGACGATAGCAGAAGAAGAAGGGGAAGTTAGTATATCTTCCAGTGAGTCACCTGAATCAAATTCCTCAACATCTGAAGAAAGCACTCCTGAAGTGAGGAGCAGAAGAGCACCATTATGGATGGAAGATTATGTGAGCGGAGGAGAATTTTTTGAAGAAGCTGAGCGCAACAATTTTGTTCTATTAACATCAACTACAGATCCAACTCCTTTGAAGAAGCTGTCAAAAGTTCAAAATGGAGAGCTGCAATGGACTTGGAGATAGAAGCCATCGAACAAAATGAGACTTGGGAGTTGACAGATTAGCCTAAAGGAATGAAGAAGATTGGAGTAAAGTGGGTTTTCAAAACCAAACTCAACGAAAATGGCGAAGTTGACAAGTATAAGGCTAGGTTGGTAGCAAAAGGTTATGCGCAACAACATGGTATAGACTATACCGAGGTATTTGCACCTGTGGCTAGGTGGGATACTATTCGAATGATAATTACTTTAGCAGCTCGAAATAGATGGAACGTGTATCGGCTTGACATGAAAAGTGCTTTCTTATATGGAGAATTAAAAGAAGCCGTCTTTGTTGAGCAACCACAAGGTTATGAGAAAAAAAGGTCAAGAATACAAGGTATACAAATTGAAGAAGGTATTATATGGCCTTAAACAAGCCTCACGTGCATGGTACAGTTGAATTGAAGCACATTTTGTCCAAGAAGAATTTGAGAGGTGCAACTGTGACCATACTTTATTCTTACAAATAGGAGATGGAGGTAAAATTTTGATTGTTAGTCTATATGTTGACAATCTAATTTTTACTGGTAATGATGAGAGCATGTTTGTTAAGTTCAAGAATTCTATGAAACTTGAATTTGAAATGACTTATTTGGGAAAAATGAAATATTTTCTTAGCGTAGAGATATTACAAAATCTTGAAGGCATTTATGTTAGTCAGAGAATGTATGCCAAAGAAGTTTTGGAGAAGTTTAGGATGGAAAAAAGTAATAGTATGAAAAACTCTATTGTTCCTGGGGTTAAACTAACAAAGGAGGAAGGAGTCAAGATCAATGCTACCATGTATAAACAATTGATTGGAAGTCTTATGTATCTAACTACAACAAGGCCGGATTTAATGTATGTAGTGTCTCTAATGAGCAGATTTATGGCAAGTCCAACAGAGTTGCATCTGCAAGCTGCAAAAAGAGTGTTGAGATACTTAAAAGGTACTATAGATTTGGGAATCCTTTATCGGAAAAGGGGTAATGGACAGTTGATAGCATATACTGACAGTGATTATGCAGGAGATATAGATGATAGGAAAAACACTTCTGGCTATGTGTTCTTACTCAGTGATAGAGCTGTGTCTTGTCCTAAAAAAACAACCTGTAGTTACGTTGTCCACTACTGAAGCAGAATTTGTTGCAGTCGTGTCTTGTGCATGTCAAGGGGTGTGGATGAGGAGAGTTTTGAGATACTTAAAACGTACTATAGATTTGGGAATCCTTTATTGGAAAAGGGGTAATGGAGAGTTGATAGCATATACTGACAGTGATTATGCAGGAGATATAAATGACAGGAAAAACACTTCTGGTTATGTGTTCTTACTTAGTGATGGAGTTGTGTCTTGGTCCTAAAAAAACAACCTATAGTTACGTTATCCACTACTTAAGCAGAATTTTGTTGGGTTTTATGTCCTAAAACTCATAGTTTGTAAACAAAGATATATTCTATTTTCAATAAAGTTATTATTGATGTTTATTCAGTAAAAATTGTTATTGAATAAAGTGAACTTTACGATCATTAATCTAAATCTAATAAACTAAGAACACTCTGGCTATAGTATGATTACTTGAAATATATGTAGAGACATAAGAGTGGATCAAGTTCAAGTATATAGTCAAAATGATCTATAGTATAAGGATAAGGCTGAGTACCTTATTCTGGGGACACTATGGATGCGGCCCACTTTTGTATATGATATAAACAATGTGATCACTAAATTGTGCATGTGGAAACATGTGAGTGGGGGCGTCCTATGCAATGAGTATTGCATAAGATCGGACCATGAAGAAAACCACTCTCACTTTATAAAGTCGTTTACTGTTGAGACTGATTTTCTTTTCATTCGATAACCTAGGTAACTCGATTTTAATCCTGAGCTAACCATGAACTCCTGTTTATTCGGAATTATCCTTAGATTTGCATGGGTGAGAGTGGCTCTAGTTCGCCGACTCAACAGGCCTCCCATTTCAGGGGTAAGACTGGGTGAATGGCTAGGGACGTGGGGTGCAAGACGGAATTCACTCCTACCCACTTTTAGGGATAGAAGAAAGGTAGTTCCCTTAAGCACTGACTCCAGGTCTTGAACAAGGGGCCCCACCCTCTCATTGGCCTGAGAGGGATTCGGTTTACTGGTTGGACCACAAACCAATTGTTCATTAGAGGATCAGTGAGACATAAGGAACAAGAAGTAACTTCAGGGGTAAAACGGTAAATTGACCAGCTCTAGTTACGAACAACCTGTGAAGGATCGACTTACTAATCATGGTTATATCAGATGGACAGAAATATATCTATAGTGAGAGGAGTGCAACTATTAGGCTATAGTGAAGTGTCCTAGTAGTTAATGAATGTTGGTTAACCAAGTTAATGAGTTTAATCGGTTAATCTTGGATCGTTGGAGCCCATGATCCCTCTGCTAGCTCATATCGGACTAAACCATAGAACAATGTGACGAGTGAGTTCGAAGTGTTCGAATTCAAATTAGGGAATATGCGTTACATATATACGATATATTTAACCGCAATTTTGTTTTATTTACGAATTAAACGAAAAGAGAGAATCTGAGATATTTAAATAAGATTTAAATATCTTAATCAATTATGTGTCGGAATTGATTGGGATTGGCATTTAAATTAATATTAAATATTAATTAAATAGTTTAATTAATCATTTAATGTTACTTTAATTTGAAATTCATTATTCAAATTAATTGTTGAATTAAAATGAAGAAAGTCAAAAGGTTGACTTTCATCTAATGGAAAAATCCATGTTTGTGGAATTTTGAGGTGTCAAAATTTGGTTTAACCAAACTTGCATGTTTGCCAAATAAACCCCACAAGTTTGAGTGGAATTTTGAGTGTCAAAATTGGTTAACTCAAACATGCATGCTTGCCACATAATCCCAAACATTTGAGTGGAATTTTAAGTGTCAAAATTTGGTGATCTCAAGTTTGCATGAACATGCAAACTTGACTCTTTAAATAGAGTGATGATGATACTTGGAGGGGATTCTTCATCTTGATGAAAAACCTTGAGAAAAACTTCTCACAAACACTCTCTTTCACATATACAAAATCCCTCCCAAGTTTAGTCACTCACCGGATTCCACAATCCCGTTCTAAGGCCGGAGGATAGTGGAGAAGACACTAGTGGTGGTTCGAAACCGGTTCGTGAGGCAAAAGGAGTTTGAACTACAAAAGGTTAGTATTTAAACTCATTAAGTTTTAATACTTATGAACATGCTAGTAATTTACAATAATTGATGTTCTAAAAGTGCCTAAGATCCAAATTGCTTCCGCATGTGTTATATTAACACCAACAAATTTGTGGCAGCCGCGTCTTGTGCTTGCAAAGGGTGTGGATGAGGAGAGTTTTGGAAAAACTTGGTCATTTTTAAGACAAGTGTATCACTATGTTATGTGATAACAGTTCCACTATTAAGCCATCCAAGAATCCAATCATGCATGGACGTAGCAA